TAGGCTTTGGGCGATAGGAAGAGAAGCCTGGAGCCCCGGGCAGCACCTATCTGGGAGCCCATGCCCTCAGCGGCACAGGCAGAGGATGGCCAAGGGCCATATTTCCAAGGGTTGCCCTCCACTCTGCGCAAGGACGCCAGCTGGTGGTGGTGGGGGTCCATGACACTTCCTGGTTTGTCCTGTGGTCGCTTCCTTTTGCGTATGTAGCATTCTAACCATGACTACAGATGTGTGTTTGTTAAGGAGAGGCTAAAATTGATAATGAGGTTTGAAAAGCAAGTCGTCAGTGTAAAGTAACTGGGGTGTGTGCTGTCGTGAGAACACAGGCTGGTGGTACCAGGGAGGCTGGCAGGCAGACAGAAGACCTGAGAGCAAAGGGCACCCAGGCCGGGATTTACCCAGGCTCGGGGTGCCACATGCCCACCCCTCAGAGGGCCACGGCCCTGCAGGCAAAGGTCGCCATCCTCCCAAGACCTCACCCTGCCTGCCTCATGTGACAGACGCCCAGTTCCTCCCTTTTGCTTTCTGTTTGCTTGTCAACATGCGCTCCGCTCCCTCCCAAGTTCAACTCTGTAGGTCAGCGTGTGTTACATAAACACACCTGTTCATGTCATTTGGTCCAAGTGAGGACCAGAGCTGACCTATGACTGCCCGGCTCAGCTGAGGGGCTGAGGGGGGTTGCCCAGGCCCTGCTGTGAGGTACTGATGGAGCCCTTCATGGGGGCGGCCCCAAGGGAAACAGAGATGGTGACTCCCACCCTCAGCGCTGTGTGCCTGCCTGGGTGTGGGTGGGGTGGGCGTCCAGGGGGCAAGGAGCAGGGGTAGCATCACAGGAGGGTCCGCAGAGGAGGTGGCTTAGCCAGCCTGTGAGGCCCTGGAGTGAGGCCCTGGTAGCCTCGGGGTTCACAGGGCCAGGACTTTGCAATGACCCATCTGTTTTCATTTATTCTCAGTCAGCATTTCAGAAAGTTCACATGACTTCCAATTTATCAGAAAGGACAAACACCCAGGAAAATGTGTGCGAAAGGTTCCCAGGGGGAGGGTTTCCTTCCGGACACATTAGCTCCCCACTCGCCTGCCAGCGATAGGAA